TATATATATATATATTTTTATTGTTAATTCTATATATATAGACTATTTAATTATAATATTCTTTTTCACCTTTTATCTTATTTTTCAATATATCCTTTAAAACCCTTCATTCCTAGCACATTATATTCACCATCTAAAAATAATTTTTTTCCACTAAAAATCTTCTTCTAAATCTATCTATCCACAATTCAATCTTAATTTAAGTCTTTTATTATTATCTAATAGATATTTAAATTTATTTATTTATTTTATCCATTACCCAATTAATTATAATATATACCCTATTAACCTACCTTAATAACTAGAAATAACTGTTATAATTTTCCTAAATTCTTAGTCTAACTTTACCCACATCCCTATCTTAATATTCCCTCTCACTCATAATATCATAAGATCCTTCACTCCTAAAAATATTTACATATAATAATTTACCCATTTATTAATACTCTTCTAAACATTATACCATATATTCATTTTATATATCATTTTTTCATAAATTAATAACTTAAATATGTTAAAAAGCTTTTACATTTCTTCTTAAGCTTTCTGATTAAAATTATAAAGCGCTTATTCTTTGTAATTCTTAGAATTCTCTAATTTAATTAAATTACTATAAGTATTCAAACCATCAGAATCTCTTTTGTTAAACATTTCCATTAATTTTTATAAGTCTATCTATATTTTCATTTATATCTAGAAGATAAATATTTAAAAAGTTTTTCTATACCTTTCCATTTAAATTTATAAATCTTTTTAAATAATTTGGATGTATCTTACTACATGTTTCTCATTATAATTTTAGTTTGAGACTACTGCTAATATAATAATATAATTTTATTTTAAAACAATTATTATTAATCTTATTTTGATTAAATAATTAAAATGAGAAGTATATTAGAAATGTTTTTACTATTTTTTACAGTTTTCAGTCAATCCTTTACATTCATAGATTAAACAAGTAAGTTTATACTTTGTAATTTTAAGACTTTTATAAAAAATTAGAACCTGAGACTAATTTTTATTCTGAAACAGGTTACATAAAAGTGGACACAATAAATGATGGAAATAATAAATTTTTCTATCATTTATTTTTAAAAGATGGCGTTATGAGCATAAGTGAAGTTAAAGAGAATGATAATTTTATTTTGTGGTTACATGGTGGTCCTGGCTATTCTTCTCTAATATAAATATTTTAAAATGTTGGACCTTTCCAAATCTATAAAATTGATGATAATAACTACTCTGTAAAGAAAGCATTGAATACTTGGAATTCAGTAGCTCATATAATTTTTATTGATTAACCATTTGATGTTGGATTGAGCTATTCTTAACCAACAATCAGTGTAGAAAGCTCAGAATAAGCAGCTTTATATTTAGTTGATTTTTTTAGGATATTTTTTTAAGAAAGAAAAGAATTTAAAAAAACAAAATTTTATTTATTTGGAGTAAGTTATAGTGGTCATTATATACCAGCTATTGGAGTTGCATTAACAAAATCTAATTTATAAATAAACTTTTAAGGCATAGCTTTTGGAAATGGTTGGTCAGATGCTTTTCTTTAATACTAAAGTTATGCACCTTTTTTATACACTTTGGGTTTATATGATGAATAATAAAAAACATATACATAAAACTTAATGTCAAAGGCATAAAATTATGTACTTAATGAAGAATATCTTAAATCAACTTAATAAGGATTTTTTGCTATTTTTGATATTTTAACTAACTTTACAGGATAAGTTAGTTCTCATGATTTTCAGAAATATTTAAATGAAGTCTAGCCTGAAGAGTTATATTCAGGTTTTATCAATTAATATAAATAATAATTTGGAGTCCCTGATGAAATTACTTATATTGATTGGAACAAAAATATAATTAAAAACTTTCAAGTTGATATATCCAAATCACAAAAAAAAAATTTAGAATATTTATTAAATATTGGAAAAAAAGTTTTAATTTATTAAGGATCTAGAGATATTATCTGTAATACTCCATCAATGAATTATATTATAAATAAATTAAATTGGAAAGATATCAATGAATGGAAAAAGTAACCAAAAAAGACTTTTAAATCTAAAAATAGAGAATTGGGAGACAATGAAACTGCTGGCACAATTAAGATATTTTAAAATTTTTATTATGCTACTTTATATAATGCAGGGCATTTTGTTTAATAAGATTTACCAATAGCAACGTTAAAAATGGTAACAAATTTTTTAAATGATGAATAAAATTGGGATTGAATATAATGTACAAAGATTTAAAAAGAAAATTTGAATACAATTATTTCTAAGAAATAATATCAATTCTTAATTGTATTGAAAATGCTCAAAAAAAAATAATATGATTCAAAATGTTATATAAGATTCTAGTGCCATATTTCCATTTATTTTTTTAGTCATCAATAATAGTTAAATAAATTTGATAAAATGAAGATTCAAGTGAAAGTTGTTTATCTAGAAATAGTCTCTTCATATTTAATAATAAATAATTCAAGTAATTTTATTTAAATTTTATTTTATAATTATTTTAAGTCAAGTCTCAAATTAATTTTTTATGTGTATGAATTTAATAAATTAAAAATATATATAAGTTTTAAACTTAAAATAGAATAAATAATACTATTTCCATTTAATCTCAATCAAATTACTTTTATTTTTCTCAATAGATAAAATAATAAAAGATTATAAATAATTTAACATTGATTATATTTCAAATAAATTATGAATTAAATAGATAATCAGAATTTTAACTCTAAAATACACATTTTCGAAGTGGATAATATTTATTTTATGTTTTTAAAGTGATTTCAATAGACCTAGGAAAAGAAATAATTATGAATAGAAAAAAGAGAGAAGATAGTAATGAAATATAATATTTAACAGCCACATAAATAATTATTAATTTGATAATAATTTAAACAAATCTTTTGATTATCATTACCATATGGACTAACCTTTAATACCATTTTAAATAACTCCATTTTAATCTAAAAAGAATTAAGAAAGACCACAATAATCTACATAAGATGGATTCTTAACTTTTTAAATTTTTAAGGTCAATGAAACTATTCCCTGATGAGTAATACAAATGAAAATAGTATTTTGTTAATTTGGTTGCTTTTTTATTTCAATGAATAATTATTCAAGGAATAAACCAACTCTTTTCTAACAATAGTCTTGATCTTCAGGATATATAGGTTAAGGTAGATTAGCATTTATAAATTTATCTTTTTTTATCTAAATTCCATTAAGATAATTATTATTTAAAATAGGATGTTAAAAAGTGTTGAAATGCAATTACATTAAGATATTTTAATCAAAAGAATGAGTGTACATAAGTTCTCCAATTTCATTTTAAATAAATAAATTTGAATTATTTGGTAACTCATTCATCATAATAACAGCTGTTTGAATACATCTCAAAAAAGGAGATGACATAAAACTCTAATTATTAATAAAATATATTAATTACTATTTTTAAATCCTCAATTTTTATTTACTTTTATTTAGCAAATTCCTCTATTTATAATCTCAACTTCTATCCTGTAACTTTGGCTTAATATTCTCCTTTTTCAGTAAGAGGTGGATCAAATTTTAATAAAACCTTTTTCCTTTCATAAGGATTAGCTACCATATCTGCTCTTTCTCCATGTCTAACAAACAAAATCATAAAATTATATAATTAATATACAAAATTTATTTTATCTTAATAATAAAGAGAAGTTTTCTATTATTAAGTTAATAATTCATTTCACTATAACAAAATTCTGATATTAAGGTACAATTTTTGTATTTTAAACATTCTTATTAAATAGAATATATCTATAAATCATTATTTTTTTATAGAATTTATATAAAAAAAAAATACTAATTATATATTGAAATTAACCAAAATACTCTAAGCAATTTTATAAATTTTATATATTATATCTATCAAATCATTCTTTTAATTGTTTTT